AAGTAGTAATATCAATTGAAATCTAAGAGAAAAAATATTAATTATTGCTCGAAATATATTACATTGCAGAGGACCTAGATGTTATTTTCCCGGGACAGAAGATTTGTATTTTAGTATAATTTGTTCCATCGAGCGCACGTACTAAAACGTAATATTATTACGATGGTAAATCTTTAGTGTATATCTCGTGATAAATCTGATGGACTATATTATTATTACTATCGTTATCTTAAATAACAGCTTCAAGATTAATGATTATACAAAACAATTTATATATATTAAGATCTCGCGAATGTACTACTTGTAAAACACGCATTGTTAAGTTTTATAAATGATCGAAACAACTTAAAACGGGGCTTTAAAATCTTGGAAATAAAAACCATATTTTAACGTAATCACTTCGAATCAAAAGATAATAATTGCATCTTCATTCACAGCGCTGCTATGACGATTAATAAACCACTGATCATCGGTAAAACCGTTCGCACACTAATCCTTCGCAATTTTATTTGTTACTCTTCGACTCGTTCTCTACTTAAAGGCAAAAGTCATCATTTTAAAATTCTTTTAGATCAACTTTTTTAATGATTCATGTTTGTTTTTGTTTTTTTATGGTGTGGGGGGATGTAGAGGATCACATATGTGTGTCACTGTTACAAATCACTAGGAAGTATGAATATAAGTGTAAACATGAGTATTGACACTTAATAATGTGGGTCACTGTTACAATATATTCTATAAACATAATTATTGATGATGAGGTGTACATAATATTACTATAGTTATCCGGATGCACAAATACAAAAAAAAATTGTTAGCATATATAAGAGACGCACACCATGTTAAGTTCGTATTAGTACCGGAGCAAGTCCACTTCTAAGGAAATCCGGATGAAGCTGTTGTTCGGTAGTCTTTCGTTCTACTATATTGAATATGTGACTAAGATTGTTGTAATTTGATCGTGCAATGATATAATATATCAACAGAAACTCAATATTTGATCTACCTTTCCTGAAGCTACCTCAAATGCCGTTAAAATATAATTTTAAAGGGCTCTGAAAACCCTCACTGACTTATCTTAATTTAACAGGTTCTCCAACGCAGTTACATTTCATAGTATGAAAACAAAAGTTTATACATTTTTCGCTGTGGACGAAAAAACTATATCGCACTATAATACACGCTTAATATAATATAATATTTTGCATTACCCGTGTCAGGTGTAGTCACGAAGCGCCTTCGACGAACAGACCATACAATCGCGTGTACAGTAACTTTGCTTTGCCCGTTCAGCTGTGGGATGCGTGACCCGACGAAACACAGCACACAGCGATTAGGTTAAACATTTAGCGACGCAAACAACGTAATTTTCAGTGCTCGTTGGCGATAAGTTTTCGAAAAACCTATCGTATACGTTTAGTATAGTGAAATATAATAATATTATACAGTTACTACGCAGGCGCACTCTGGACCTAACCAGGATAAAAAATAAAACCACTGGATTTACTTTATCTATATAATAATATTTTGTTTGCCATTGTCAATCTGTATTTGAAATCATGTGGTGGGTCGGTGGTCTTAAAAAATATGCGTCATGACGTCTCCAAGGGACGCGTCGTGAGTATTGGAAAGGGGAGACCGACGAGAATGAATGAATGGTATAAAAATTATGACGGTGATTACGATATTATTAATATAATATTATTTTATTCTAAAACATTTCGTTTCGGTTTTCTACGTATAACTTCGTTTCATGCATAACAAATTAGATAGCTGGTATCATCACAGTTGTAATAGTTTCTGTTTTTTTCAGTATGCGCATATCCTTCACCTCTGGCCCATGTGGTAGTTCTGCACTTCCTCATTGGTTGATTTATTTTATAATAAAAATATGTATATTATGATTGACAGCCAATAAGAAGTGAACAACTATGGTATAGGTGAAGTAAAGAGCGGGGGATGCGTATCAAAAAACCGTGATGATACATATCTATTTTGTCATGATTTGATGTCTGCTGATAATTCATATGGACACGTATACCACACATTGGCGAAAACCATTGGCGGAAATTAGCCCCCCCCCAAAAAAAAAAAATATAGTTTTTTAGTTGTGTGGGATCGAATTGATGTTAAAAATGTTGGCCCCCTTGAAATTTTAATATAATTTCCGTTTATGATACAGTATATTATAATATAAATAAATAAATTAATAAATATATTGTTGACGCATATAAATTGAGCCGTCAAAATGTTTTGAACACGTGACAAAGATCTGTGTGAGTGTTGTACCTAGGTATGTTTTCCTTATAAAATCAAAACCAAAAATATTGGTCAAATTTTTGAAATGCATTCTACCTCTGTTTTATATAACCTGTGTGACAGAAACGACTGACAAAATATGTATTAGTACAAACTACAAACAATAACTTTTGATGTATTCAAGATTTTAATTTTCTTTTTTATTACTATTATTATAAATATCATAGTAGAAGTTTTTAAATCTTGCCGAGAGCAAAACGTACAAGAGACCTGGAGGTTGATTATTTAAAACAATAATATTACAAATTCTTACTGTGTGTACTACGTAGTACCTATACCAATTACCAAGTAATTTAAATTAAATCTACTTTAATTTTTTCTTATTTTTATATTACGACTTCGGCACACTGCAGCGGTCAAAAAATAAACTGTCGTAGGGTACACTATATTATTTTATATTTGACACTGTAGTGGTACCTTACACACATTTTTTTTGGAAAATTTGTGTTTTTTGAAAACAGCGTATCTTCGTTAAATGATGGTTAATCGGGTTTAACGTAATCGATACTACTAATAGCGTGAGTAAACGCAGAAAACACGGCAATATTATAATACTGGAATCTGTAAACTGCCTGATATAACGATTTTATATTATAATAAATTACCTCAAATTCGCTTAATGCAATTTAAAGAATCATTTTTTCACATTAATTCAGCCATTACCGAACGCATTAGGGTAATATTGTCGGTCGTAAGTCGTGATAAGTTTTTCCCTGCACGAATTAGCCACTTTCAGTGTCGCTAAATTTGTTCGTGAAATAAATAATATTCAATATTATTATTAGATGAGTGTTTCCTAAGCTCGAAATGGATCGATATAATAACGTTATGTTCGGTGTGATCTTATTAGTTTTTAAGAAATGTTAAGAAAATACTTAATACCTTCCCTTCACGAATTAATCACTTTCCGGTTTACTGGATTTTTTCTTCGAATAAATAATAATATTATACAATATCATCGCGAGCATGTGTTTTCTCAGTTCAAAATTGTTCGATATAAGTCATGTTCGGTGTGATCTTATTCATTTTTAGGCACGTCAAGAAACCAGAACTGTTGAATTTTTAAGCCGTACGAACTTTATAATTATTAATGCCATTTGTTACGCGTTATGAATAATTCGAGAGTTATGTCACTGTTTCCAGCCGAATGAACAATTCTAAAGTATTGCACGTAACTTTTGAATAAAACTGCACATTTTTATTATTTTTATTCGATATGATTTTTTTAAAGTGAATATCGCTAAATAAATAAATAAATATATCTCTGACACAATTTTCATAATTTTTCTCGTTTTTGACATTCTTAAAAGCATAACGATACTATTATTCATGAACGAAAAAAATGCCTTCATAATTTATATTTTTATATTACTCTTTTTCGTGTGTTGTACCTACTGCGGTGTCAAGTGCCAACTGCATTTCAGTTTTTAGATGTCAACCAATAGTTTTGATTTTATATTTTAAAACAGATATTATTTTATTCTAATACAACAATTTGTTAAGTATTTATGGCACGCCGGTGCGACATTAAAAATCCTTAAACAAATGGCTTGGCAACGGTGGAACGTTACAAAAAATGTTTTACACCAATTCGAGATTTTCGTTTTAAATTCGTGATTTACAACGTAACGAGATTTATCGACTACGATAATATTGCTCTAATTCGAGAACTTCCAGTCGTGTAATGTAACGCACAGTATTTAAAAGTATTGTATTATCTCTCCCAATTAATTAGGATTCGACGTGAATTATAAACAACAATTTCGTATTGCACGTTATTTATAGCAACGAAAAAGATATTTTTCCTATTTCCGTTGCGTTAATAAATATATGTATTTATTATTTATTTTCCGACCCCATATTGCACACACACACTATATCAACGTATACATCTCTTGTGTGTGTGTGTGTGTGTGTGTGTGTGTCTGTCTGTAAGTTACGGTCAAAGCCGTAAACGATGGTAAATGACGTTAACGCGCGTGGGCAAAATTATAATATCCCACTAAATTGGACAATTATTATAGTCAATGGTCGACCATTGACGGTATCGGACAGGTATTTCGGGAAACGTTGAAAACGTTCGAATTGCCCCGTTATTAATGTTAATGGCCGCCTCTTTCGACCGCTCGGGTGTAGTTGAAAAACATAAAAGTACACTAAATCAGTGGTCGAATCGCATAGAGACGCGCGCGCGGTTTAATAATAATAATAATAATAATTTATGTCCATGTACCTCGGTGGGGTATATCGTCGGCATTTGCGGCCGTTGACGGGTCGCAGATCCAGAGGAACGGAATAAACGAATCTCGGACAAGAAACCCTGCACGTGTGGTGGAGTGAGTGGAGAGGATTTATAAGTTAGCATAGTATGTGTTCGATAAAGAAATACGCAGACTGTATAATGCAATACCAGCGGATAAACATCCCCTAAATTGTAGGGGGTTCTGTCACTTTACAGCCTCCCTTCTCGTAGTTATACTAATATATAGTTGTGAATAATCTAATATCATATCATAATATTTGCTCATTGTACACGTCATCGTGCTACGGATTCTGCATTTTTCGATCCTCTTACCGTTGAAACCTAAACAATAGTCATGTCGACTTCGCCGATGAGACTATTATTGCGTATATAATGTGTTGAAAACGGACATTTTCTCCACAATTTCAAAACGAACACCTCAGGTATTCGATTTCGCTTTTAAATCGGCGAAAACGGTACGGTTACGTTCGAATCGATCGGGTTGTAGCTTTCCCGAAGTATAGTTTCCACGAAAGCCTCTTAACTTTTGAGTGAACGAAATGGGAACTTCAAGAGTGGCCTCGGAAGCTTTCGGACGAAAGTTTGTAGGCGATTCGTTCGAATGATCTATTGCTACCATATCGGCTCTACGACTTTTACGATAAATTCTGTACGTCCAACACAAAATATAGTGAGCGTATATTATTATATTTTTGGCACATCGATGCGTTGTCTGTGCGTTCGAGAACGTTTCACGGCTGAACGGTGACATGGCAAAAGGTAATAATTAATTCCGATTTCTCGTCAGACATTTGATTGAACATTCAAATCGCCTATATAAATTAATATAACCATGGTTATGTGCACATAGGTAGCTGGCACCCGCACGACCGTAGTCCACTACTACTATACTGTGGTTAGCAGTTATATCATATTATAATACCCACAGATGCGGTCGTCCGTAATCGGCCAATATAATGTTATAATATTATACAGAGTGATTCAACAGAGGATGCTCACTCCCGTTTTAATATTATTTAAGAATCGAATTTTAATAATTTGAAATTGTTGAGTACTCATAACATTATAATATACTGACAATTCACTGACTATATTATTTTTCAATTGTTTAAATTTGTTATACTGCTCAAGTAGTGTTTCTCGGTGATCTGAACCGTCATTTTCAATTTTTTTTTTCAAAATATAGATGTATCTAAATTCAAATGCGAACTAGTAGTTTCTGAATGATTAAAATTTATATAATATTGTATTATAAAATATATACTTATGATAATTTAGCTGTTCCTAAAACTGTGTTTAAAAAAATAAAAATAGTAATATTATGCAATATTAAATCTAGTATTTATTATACTAAGATAATTTTTTATAAATTACACAATTTCGATGGTACTATAAATAGTTCAAATCATAATTTAGCCCTAATAACATGATATTATATTATATTCCAAACCTGTACGTATAGGTTTAGATACATCAACATTTAAAAAACTTATTATAATCATTTGTTTCATAATTTACTGAAAAGAGCAATTCTCAATTGCAAAAAATCAAAATTATAGCAGGACACTTTATACATAATATTAAAAAAATCTAAGAACCTATACTAAAAAATTCCAAAAAAGTAGAACTTCAATGAATTCATTTTTAATAGTTATGCTTTGTGAATCACTCTGTATATGCACATAGTTACCGCACGAGCTCATCGTTGTTAATAACCGTCCCATACATTTACATTTTGTGATTTTCCCTAATAAACGATATATTGCTATCTGCATATTAATATTACTACTGATCAATATCATGTTACATTACACTCACAAATATTATTGTACATCATTGATGGTTTGAACTAGTTTGACTTATTTACAGTCATTCATATCGTAATATTATGTCATTGATGTTGAAATTAATTGTTAATATTATCGTAAATATAAATAAACGACAAATAAATTAAAAGCCACCGGAATGATAATAGTAATAATAATATGTATTTATACAGTTCTCTCGCTTGTATGAATAATATTGTTACCTGCAAAAAAGATATTCTAAACAAAAATTATATATTAAATTGTATTTCTCGATCAATAAAAAATGACACTCTGCAGTTCTCGCGCGTCATACCTATATTCAATTATTATACTCAAACCGCTAAACTGACTTTCTACTTAAATATTACTTGGGCGTTTGATGGGCATCGGCATTGTTCTGTTCGTAGAAAAATACAGAAACGCGATTCGAAAGGGCTGTGAGGGTACGGAAAATATTCTGTGAAAAAGCGTATTGAGAGAGAGCCGCCGGTACTCGTCCGGGGTCGAGCCAAAGGCGTAGTAGGTACTGCAGTTTTTCCGAGTGCGAAAAGAAAGGGGGAGGCACCATTAATTTTTCGAAGTGGATTTACGAACGGACTTCCCGTCGCCGTTGAAGAAGGGATGAGACGTCAAAGCACATCGTTTCGCCACACAACCCTCCACCCCCCCTCCCCTGCGTCATACTTCCGGGAACGAGCGGAGCCGGCGGTATATGGTTTAAAACAAAATCGTACTGGTATATTATATTCTGTGCAGTGTGACAGAGCGTGCCGAAAGCCGACAAGATGGTTTTAAAACCGAGAGACACACTAATTCATTTGAGCCTTGGGGTTTTTTTTTTTATTTTTTTAATTGCTGTAAGTACACGTCATAGTGGCCGTGGATTTTTATTTCCTCGAGCCCACGGCACGGCGGCGTGCCTTTGAACAGTGAGGTAGGAAATATTTCAAGGCGCTTCAACGCCGCAAACGAGTGATAATAATAATGATATTATTACCAAATAGGCACTTGTGAGTCGGCACATTTTTTTTATCGATAACAAACACTATTGTGGTATTATTATAGCCGGTACGTCAATACGTCATTATAATAATATTATATATAGTGCCTACGAGTTTCGCTGTGTGGTATGCGCACCACACGATAACAACCCAGACGGAGTTTGGAGTGCTCAAGTAAAAAACAAAAACAAACAAGAAATCCTAGGAAAAGCTTTTTGTCTTAGTATCACATAATATAATAAGTATTATATGGTAAACGTAATGCGTTAAAGTGAAAAAAAAATACTATCTATGATAATAATATTATTATTATTGATTCGTTTAACGTCTTTATTTCAAAAACTATGAATGATTTTGAAAATATTTGTTTTAGATAATTTCAAGTAATAAGCACCATTTATAATAAAAGAAATTATTACAACGTTATGGATATTTTAGTTAATTATTTTTTTTTTTTGAAAACAATACATGCATTTATAATTCCTCATTTCAAATTATAATTTTTTCTGAGTACTTTAATGTATACAATTAGCTAGCTTAGATTTAAAACAAGTAGCTATTATGAGTTCCAAGTATTTGAAGTTAAAATAATCGAAGTAGACTTGTTTTGCAGGGGTAAATGGCCTTTAAATTGTTGGATCACTACTCAGCTCATCTAAACTTAAACTATGACTAATTTACTAGTTGCAAAACATTTGATTTTTATAGATTCAAATACTCCGAATAATATTCTGCCTTCCTACTTGAAATTAAAAAAAGTTGTCATTCAAAAGAGTAAAAAACCTAAAATATGATAATGAATAAAAAAGATAAAAATATAATAAACTAGCTGAACCCGTGGACTTCGTTGCCCGTTAAATATACCAACTCTATAAAACTCAAACTTTGTTCAATTCGTTGTTTAATATTCGGTGTATGGTGCTTAAAATTAATCTTAACTTTTCCGTTGCCCTGAATAAAAATTCTGATTCGCAGCAGTATATTATGAGGTATGCAATCTGTCTGGAGTAGATCGCGGACCCTGTGCTGTTAGTACGTAAATGTATAATTTAACTCTAAAGTATCAAAGTTATATCAAGTTTGTCTAATTCTACCTAGGGTGGATTAATATAATCAATTAATACAAAACCCTAACCTAACCTGTTGCGTTATTTTTGTTTTTTGACATCCAGATTTCCTACTTTTCCAAAAATTTTTTTTTATAAAAGCCTTTTCCGTGATACCTATACTATTTCGTTAAAAAAAAAATCAAAAATATCTGATATTTAGTTCCAGAGTTTACCCTGTACAAAGATTTTCATTTCACATTTATATATTTAGAAGATATAATATATATATTGATAAAAAATAATAAAACAAATCAACAAAGATGTCCGTAACCAATAGCAAACAATATACAATAGACTATTATTATTTTAATCCACAACTAAATTTTTTACTATTTAGTTTATTTTTTTTCTGAACAGATGGGGCCACTGTTGTATTTTTTGTCATCCAAATTTTCTAATTTTCCGGTGGATTTTCCTAAAATTGTATTACATAAGAACCTTCGCCTGACAATTACGAACACAACAGAAAAAGAATTAGCGAAATCGGTCCAGCCGTTCACGCGTGATACGATGACCAAGGGAAATGGGGATCCATTTTTATATATAAGATTAAACGTTTTTTTTATAGACTTAAAATTATGAAAAATAAATATTTTCAAAAACAATAATAAAATTATGATAGAGTCACACGTTCAATGGATCACCCATTATATTATTATGAATAGATACCTACTTTATATGAATTCTATAACAGTTGTTCAGTACAATATTACAATAGTTTCTGCAAACGACCTTTATATACGTTATTGTTCCATTTTTTTTGTAAACATATTATAGTAAGTCATATTCAATGCCGACAAATAATATTTTTTATCCAGAAACGTTTTTTACATTGAACAATCAATACAATATATTATCCATACTTGCCCTATGATATAAATAATGTGCCGCTTACCCTAACTTCGGGATCAAATTTAATATAGATCGATTTGCCGTATTCGGTGTTATGTTTCACAATATATATTATTATACGCCGAACTGATATCGAGTGTACACGGAGATACGTAAATTTGTTTTACGCTTTTGAAAATATAGAGACGACGAATAAATTCATAAAGGAATTTCCCTCCGAACCCGACGCGCATTTCCGTGTATCTGATGATGTCATCTCGTCCGCGTCGCGTATAAATCGCGAAAACAATACAATTTGATTTGCATCGCGAACGACGTTTTATATTATTCATATTATTATCATTATTGTTATTATTTTTATTATTATACGGCACCGAGACTTATGCGAAAAACATTCATTCGCAATCTGTGTGTATAATATATTATTATAATACCGAGTGAAAGTGAAATAAAATGTACGCGAATGATTTATTTTCTCGTACGATGATTATCCGGTGGGAGTGGGGAAAAAAAAAAATTGTACTCGCCGGTATTGTGAGGAGAAAAACGAGAACCTGGGAAAATATAATAATAGATGATGAAATTTTTCGTATGGTTTTTTTTATTTTTTTTTTTTTTTGTTCATACTTCTTTTGTGCTTTGCACGCTCGTCATCGTGTGCTAAGTGATTAACATTTATAAACATCTAACGGGGCGCCAATTACACTGGGGTTATTGTAACCAGAAAATATTTTAGTACCTAGTAATTTTTCAAATCAAAATCTCGTTTTTGGGTGATTGGAAATCCATTAATTGCAACTTATAGATCGCAGTCCGTGCAACAATAATAATAATAATCGAGTACCTACCTATATATGATACTGAAACTGTCGGGGAAAAAAATGGCATTTAAAGCTTGTCGTTCAAACCCTCTTGAGGTTTGAAGGAGATTTTAAAACGTCCTGAAAAATGATTAAGCAGCATAGCATACCTACAACTGTG